GTATGTGTGTATGTGTGCATGTGTCTGTGTGTGTCTGTGTCTTAGAATCTCACGCCGTCTGATCTTGTCTTTCTCTCTCTCTCTAAATATATATATATATATATATATATATATATCAGTCTTTTCATATCTATGTAAGTAACTATGTCGAATAACTGTTTATCATCGTATACACTTCGACGATTTTTCTCGAGCGATCATCTCTGTTCACGAAACGTATCTTAACGTAAACAATGACAACATATCATGAAACAGATTTAATCTGACAATTTGGACTTTGCTAACCAGGCGCTTCTCTGTAGCTGAATTGTACGGCGCGTCAGGTCAAATGACGGTTTCTGTATACGAATACAGGTGCGATTCCTGTTGGAGAACGCATATTTTTATGAAATTTATCTTATAGTCTTCAAAGGTTTGCCCATTAACAACAATATTCATTGGTTTAGTTTGGTTTAGTTGATTTTGTTTAGCGGCATATCAACATCTCTATGGGTTATTCCATGCCAAATCTAAATATTTTGAACACAGTTTTATGGCTTCAACTAAATATATATGAAGGCAGTTTTATCTCTTCAACCTGCAGTAAGAAAGGTATTATTGTTAATTTTTACCATAATTTGGTAATTTCACATTCTTTGGTAATTTTTTATACATAAAAAAATGTATTGCTGGTAACTTTACTCTATTAGGTTGGTGCAAAAATAATGACGTAATAATGTCGTTTTTTGACGTATTTTTTAACGTCAAAAACGACATTATTACGTCATTATTTTTGCACCAACCTAATAAAAATGTATTTCTCTACTTTCATTTTTTGTGGGCTTCACTATTTTCCCATAGATGGGTCTCTAATTGGTGCTACCACCCCGAGTCAGGGTGAACCTTTGAACAACAACAAAAAAAATGTAGTTCCACAAATTCTCCAATCTCCCGATCAGAGGGCTTGCTGCAGGATTTAGTTTATCGTCATACCCAGGACTATGAGCTTTATGAACCTACCTGTGAAGAAGGGCTGCATTTTTGAAAAAATTTTCCCAAAGCTATCAATCTTGTAGAATTAGTGTAATAATCCCCGAATCTATACCCTTTCAATAGTATTAGCTATATCGAAGGTGATCGCCCTCAATAGACATATTGTCTAGTACCTGAACGTTTTTGTGTGTTCTGACAGGACATTATTAGTGAAAATAGAAGATCGAAATCCATACATTTGTTGTTTACGAGGTTGTTCATGTCAAGATTATTTAAACGCTGTCTGAAGGAGAAACGCTTCCCAGTTCTATTTCAACTGTTATCGATATAACCTGTGATTGAGAATAAAGGGGAATACTCATCATAGTCGCATTATCGATCTATCAGCCTTGTTATTAATATCCGTAAATTCTTTGAGTCGCTGCTCACAATATAATGAATACCAAACATTTCCCTATTAGGAATCTCTTAATATTACTATTAGTATTAGAGATGGGGTCAATAGCAGGACAGACTGATTCCTATAACCTTGGTTGGCAACAGGTCCACCGTAGAAAGAAACGACAATCTACTGCTAGAAGCATAATCACCCAAGCGTGTATTGAATATGGTATTTAACTGACTGTGTAATGTTTTAAGGACCTTAGCAACTGTACATTTCTCCGAGACTAATATGGTTTTGAATTCAGAATTTTCATTTTAAAAAAATGGTGTAAATTTCACCAACAAGCTTGCATCAAATTATTTTAAATGTTTGACTGCCATTATATCAAATAACGGAACACGTCATAAAATATTATGTTATAGTAATTTATCAACTCGCGCATGGACTCTCCCAGCTATAAATAGGAGCAGGTACCGCCTTTTGGAGGGTGAAGTTTCCATCAGTCAGCTCTAACAGTCGGACCGAGCATTCTTGCTGTAACACTCTCGTTTGTATATGTTTGTATTACTGTTTCTGCTAATATATTTGTTTAACTTACATCCTCTCTTTGTATCTTTATCTCTGACTCTAACAAGGCCACAATAGATAGATAGATAGATAGATAGATATGAACTAACTAAGATAGATAGATAGATAGCGTTATGGTAATTTACCCATGCATGCATGAACTCTCGCAGCTATAAATAGGAGCAGGTACTGCCTTTTAGAGAAGGAAGTTTCCAGCAGTCAGCTCTGACAGTCGGACCGAGCATTCTTGCTGTAACACTCTCGTGTGTATATGTTTGTATTACTTTTTCTGTTAATATATTTGTTTAACTCAATTCCTCTCTTCATGTCTTTATCTCTGACCCTAACAAGGCCACAACAGATAGATAGATAGATAGATAGATAGATATCAAAATCTGTTCTCTGATTCTTGTATTTTCCCCTTACTGAGTAATTTATTTTTTTATGGATTATCACTCCTTTGTGGTTTATTAGAAGCCGAATTATATTTCCGATTTTAGGGTGTATCTTACAGTACCTGGTGCTGCAAAATTGTCCCCTGTGTGGATACTGACGGGACTCGACACCTCTTAACTTCGGTGATCGGACGAGACCCGATGCTTTCAGACTTGTTTCTCTTGAAGCATAATCTATACTGACTACAAGGTTGGAGGGAAACCTTCATAGGCTCAGTATGAGTGAGTGACGCTAGAGCTGTAAAATTTTGCATGCATTAATTGAAATTAATTAAGATTTGAAATTAATGCATGCAAGATTTCACAACACTAGCATCACTCCTTCATTGTTAACCTATGAAAATTTCAGTCCACCCTCGTACCTGGGAAGAAACAATGCATTTATTAATAAGAAGAGTACAAATTAATCCAGACAAGATTTCACATATCTAGCATTACCCCTCCATAATCAGCCTATGGTCTTTTCAACCCACCCTCGTACCTGGGAAGAAACAATGCAGTTATTAATAAGAAGAGTTGAAATTAAAGCATGCAAGATTTCACAGCTCTTGCATCACTCCTTCATAATCAGCCTATGAACTTTTCAGTCGTCTCTCGTATCTGGAAGGAGACAATGTCATTATTAATAGGAAGAGTTGAAATTAATGCGTGCAAGATTACACATCTCTAGCATCACTCCTT